TTACGAGAGTCGCGTTTAGAGGTCTCTCAGAAAATTTTCTTACAATTACACTTCTGGGCTCCCTCAAATTACTCAAATTGCTTATTTGGAGGCCCCGTTCTCAAAATTATTCTTTAAAAATGTTTACACTCTCAGCCATATGGATACTCTCTCTCTCTCTTTGGACAAAATCCGTTTTTTAGGACATTTGGAGTTGATGTAGGGGTCTCCGTCCGTAGTACCATTTAGTATTTTTTGTACACTATTAAGTACGCATTTTCTCGATTTTGAAAAAATTAACTTTGCCCGATTTTTCTCTGCTCCCAGGAATTTGAGTAAGTTTCACTCTTTGGGCAAATTCGAAGGTCTGATTTTAAATTTCACTCAAAAGCAAATTGTACCAAGTCTAGTACCATTTCCAAAAACACCTCCATTAATCAAACCTAACCAAATGTCAAGATAATAATCTTCACATAACTCGAAATGGTATTAAATTTAGCGCAGATTAGTACCTTGGTACACATTTTGTTTGATTTTTCCAAAAATTGTTTGATAAGTCTACCCCACACAACATCAAATACCCTCATTCCAAATTTCAAAGATTTCCAGCTCTATCCCTTTCCCAAATACAAAATTTAATGAAATTTACAGGGTGAGATAAAAAAAACTGCGACAAAGTAAAACGTCATAATTTTTACATTTTTTTTTTTAATTTTATTGAATGAAACAAAAAAATTTCGGAAATAGCATCAAATTTTAGAATAAATTTAGATTTGTTCGAATTGGTTACCTTTGGCACGAATTTTGGCTTTCAAACGACCAATGAAAACGTCACACGCTGCCCGAATGTTGCTCTGCGGTATTTTGGCACATTCCCGGCGAAGCGCTTGCTTGAGGTGATCGACGCTTTGGTATTTTTTAGGTGCCAACCTTGCTTTCAACGGATTGGTATCCGGAGATTTTGGTGGTCATTGTGCGCTGGAAATGAAGCGAGGAATCTAATTTTGTAACCATTATTGGTTGGCGCGTGTTGAGTCCTGTTAGAATGTCCAAGGTCTGCGGACAAAATGTTTGCGTGTCCAAGGCTTATATAGACCCTCCAGAATATTTTCGCGATAATATTCGCGAAAATATTCTGGAATAATAATTATTCTAATGCTACGGTCGATTAATACGAGCGGAGAGCAACCATCGGCTGTAATGGCGGACCACACCATCACCATGGCCTGCTCGAAGCTTGAGTTCCGGTGGCCAACCGAAGGTGCACATTTTCAGCTGACCTCTTTGGCAAGTAAACACGATCATTTTGTTTGTTTACAAACTGCTGCACAACGAATGTTGTTTCCTCATCGGAGAAAACCAAATTCGGCAGCTCACCACTTTTGGCCAAGCGAAGCAATCCTTTAGCTCTTTTGAGTCTATTTTCTTTCTGTTGCGGTGTAAGTTCTTGCACTTTCGGCTCTTGAATTTCAATGGCTTTACCCCAAGCTCATTTTACAATATTTGCTGAATGGAGTATTGCGATATGTTCAGCTCACGAGCCATTTTTTGGCCACTGCGACGCGGATTTCGATCAAGTCGCTTCTTCTCTTCTGATGTTGCTGTTTTCTTTCGTCCGCTTCCTTGACGTCGGGTTACGCTAACGAGCGATGGTACGAGACACAAACGATTTATTCACATTTAAATGCTGGGGTGCTCTAACGATAGCCACTTGTGGGTTTCCAGGCAAATATAAAGAAATCACATCATATCACGCTTGAATTCCATCACGAATAACTTTTATTCTGGAAAAGTCTCACCATGATGCTTTTGTACGCTTGTAAACAATATAATGAGCTGTCACTGGAATTATTTTAACAGCTGTCGGACGAGTGGCTTAGAAATGACAGCAGTCTGAATTTGGTTGTAGTTTTTTCATCTCACCCTGTATGGGACCTATAGCTATATCTTAACCGATTTTCACCAAACTAACAACACTTTCTTCCAGGCTGAATTCGTTCGTATGTGCCAAAATCCGTTCTTATATTAACCATATGGTGAACAATAAACTTGATATCGGATAAAGAAATATATGGGAGCTATATCCAAATCTGAACCGATTTCGACACAATTTGGCTAAGGAATTTCTGAGCTGTATTTGATATATTCCCCGAATATCGTTGTTATGGAGTGCATATTACGATAGTGGAGGACAAACATAACAAATCGGATGATTAATAAATGTGGGAGCCATAGCTATATCTTAACCGATTTTCACCAAATTTGACATACTTGTTTCTAGAACCGATTTGGTCGTAAGTGCCAAATTTCATACAATTTGAGCAAATATTAGACGTTTGGTGCACAATAAAAGGTAAATCGGACGAAGTTTTATATGGGAGCTATATCCAAATCTGAACCGATCTCGATAAAATTTAGCAAATGTATTTCTGAGCTGTATTTGATATATTTCCCCAAATATTGTTGTTACAGAGTGCATATTACGGCTGCGGAGGACAAAAATAACAAATCGGATGAACAATATATATGGGAGCTATAGCTATATCTGAACCGATTTCGATCAAATTTGGCATACCTATTTTTAGGCCTAATTTGGTTTTATGTGCAAAAATCCATTCTATTCAGACTGATATTACACGTTTGGTGCACAATAAAAGGCAAATCGGACGAAGATATATATGGGAGCTATATCTAAATTTTTACCGATTATCTCCAATTTCAATGGGCTTCGTCCTTGGGCCAAACAAATGATTTGTGCAAAATTTCATCTAGATAGGGCAATAAAACTGTACTTTGCTTTGGCGAACTATACTTTGTTTACAAAAATACGTGGACAGACGGACGGACGGACATGCATAAATCGACTCAGAATGTGATTCTATGCAGATCATCAAAAGGAACTATGGGTCTATCTCGTTTCCTTTTGCCTGTTACAAACAAATGCACAAAGACATAATACCCTGACCACCTTGTGGTGTAGGGTATAAAAATACAAATCGAATAGACTTTATGAGTATTCCTAAGAAATCTGAAAATTCACGCTTGGGAGAAACTAAAATAATATTCATAAAAAAATCCACAACAGGGGTTTCGTTAAAAAATAATTTTTAATAATTTAAAACCAGAGGTATCTCGAGCAAAACATAAATATTCTTTAAAAAATCGCTAAAGGAGCCCTAATCACTAAAAATTCCTAACAAAAAATTCGAAGAGTGCCTCAAAAATATAAATAAAATAACAGGTGTAGAAGTCCCTCCACCAAAAAAATGAAAATCCACGTCCATATTCTTTAAAAACCACGTCTAGTGATGCCTCCAGAAATATTCTAAGAAAAAAAATTTTCTAAAAAATATTTTCCTAAGATATACCCGTCAAGGGATCATCTTGTAAAGATCCTCGCCTAAAAAAATTAAAAAAAGCAGCTAAGTTCGGCCGGGCCTAACTTTTAATAACCTTCACCATTTGGGAGGAACTTGAAAATTTTCAAAAAAAAAAAAAAAAAAAAAAAAAAAAACTTGAAGACGTGGACCTGCTTACGAAATGTTTTCGTAGGCTGTAGTACCCACTACAAATACCGAATATCGGGATGTACCGTTATATGGGGGATATACGAAAACGTGAACCTACATACGGTTTTGTTTCTCATAGGCTAGTATCCATTACGAACTTTAAATACGACATTTGTTACAATCCCGTTGAACAATGTCGCACAAAGCATAAAAATACCGAGTATTGGGAGGTACCGTCATATGGGGTCTATACGAAGACGTGGACCTGCATACGAATATTTTTCCCACAGGTTGTAGTAACCATGTATATCTCAAAATTTTAAACAATTCCGATGAATAATGTCGCTAAAATCATGAAAATACCGAATATAGGGAGGTACCGTTATATGGGGGCTTTACGAAGACGTGGACCTGAAGAGACAATTTTCTGTCTCATGCTGTAGTATGCATTTCGAACTTCAAATGCCAAATTTGAAACAATTCCGGTGAATAATGACGCCAAAATCATAAAAATACCGAATAACCGGAGGTACCGTTATATGGGGGCTATATGACAACGTGGACCTGCATACGAAATTTGTTGTCATAGACTGTAGTACCCATTATGAATTTTAAATACGACATTTGTTACAATTTAAATACGACACTTCTTAGAATTCCGTCGCTAAAATCATGAAAATACCGAGTACTGGGAGGTACCGTCATATGAAGGCTATACGAATACGTGGACCTGCATACGAAATTTTTTGCCATAGGTTGTAGTACCCATTAAGATTTTTAATACGAAATTTAAAATAATTCCGGTGAATAATGTCGCTAAAATCAAGAAAATACCGAATATCGGGAAGTACCGTTTTATGGGGGCTATGCGCAAACGTGGACCGACATAGCCCATTTACGAACTTAACCAGCCTACAAAATGTTACTTTCTATCTCAATTCGTTTAAAAAATATCGTGATTACAACAGACGGACATCGCTAGATAGTCTTAGAATTTTACGCTGGTCCAGAATATATATAGTTTGTAGGGTATATTATGAATATTTCGAGGAGGATCTATTATTTCCATAAAATGATAGAGGGTATAAAAAATCCATTATATCTCTGATATCACATTTCAAATTATTCTTTTTCAGTTCCAATCTATTGCCGCACTTGGAACATAAATTTCATTTTTCATATTTTTGCCCATCAAAATATGACGTGATCGTCATAAAATGTCTTTATAATGCTCTTTAAGTAGCGGTTTATTCCGCCACACAATAAAAAACTGGAAAACATAACTGTTATTTAATGGGAGAATCCCGTCATCCATGGACTTGTTCCATAAATACTTTACCGCTTCCAAATCTTTTTGTTTATACCAGTTTATTTATGATTATCACACTCAAAAAAAAAACAATAAAATACATTTGTTTTGTTTAATAACAAAACACAGACAGACACACGCAAAAAAAAAACAATAATAAATTAATGTCAACACTCTGCTTTGCAAATAAATACGAATATGAATACGATTACGGATTTCTAAGAAGTTTCCTTTATTTTGTGGGCAGTTACATAGGGTTGGAAGCCATTCTTGTTGGCCTTGTATTTGACGGTGTACTCATAGCCATCGGCCGATATGAAGCTGTAACCACCGCGAAATTCTACCGGATCTTCGGTTTTTTCCTCTTTGGTATCGGCCACAGCATTTGAGGTTTTGTTGAATTTAATGTCCTCTACACGCTGATAGCCGTTGTTGGTTTTGAAACTGAAATTGAAATAAATTAATAAATAAAATTCGGAAATTTTCATGTTTATGTCCGACTTACCCAAAATGAAATTGACTCTCACCATTTTCATTCGTGGTCACCGCACCACTGCTGCTGTGGAGCAGGCTGTATACGATGGCCAAGGTCACAATAAACGTCAACTAAAATATTAATAATTAAAAACAAATTATTAATAATTTTATGTTTTCTCAAGAACTTGTCAGGCCCCGCCAACTCACTGTTAGAGATTTCATTTGTTATGGTTTTTTTTATTTTGTCTTCACAATTTTTTCTTTTACCGGCGTTAGGTATTTTTCAATTCTGTTCTGTAGCGTGTGCAAAAAACAACTGATTTTAGCAGCAAGCATTTTAAACTGGCCTAGCCAATAATATTTATAACGATCATCATGATCACCTTATCATCGGCTAATAATGATGTTCTTGTGTTTTTTTCTCTATTCTATTCTTCTTCTGTTGGGTGGAAGCTGTTGTTATTCTTCTTTTGAAATAATTTTGATTTTTTTTCTTTTTGTGATGCGAAAGCGTTGGGATTTTCAGAGTAAAGGGGGAGTTTGGCAGGCATTAAGGTATGCCCTACATTAGAACTTTTAATTGACTAAACGTAAAAAGTTCTAATGATTTATAAGCCATTACAATTGGATGAAGCCCTAAACCTAGTCCAGATTAATAGAAGAGAAGGATAATTCATCAAAGCCAAGGCGAAACTGAAGAAAAATCTTAAAAATTTTGGTGAGTGTTAAGGCGGAATAAAAGTACAAAAAGGTACTAATTATAGTACCGTAAATATGGAGCGATTGGGACCTGCGGGAACTCTGAATTTTGTATATGAAAAACAAAAGGGTAGAAAACCACTTTGAAAATTCGTAATAAAACATCGCACTATTTGTATAGGGTGAACGGATGGTGCTAGAATTTGAAAGAGATGCACCAAAGGGGCTTTTTTAACTTTAAGTGTACGCAAAGTACTAAAAGCTTATAATTTGGTACTCACACCCCTAATTCCTGTTCTTTTGGAAAAAGAACAGGAATTAGGGGGGTGAAAATGTTCGAAGAGTACGAAAAGTACTAAATGTAGTATATATTGTAGGAAATTAAATGTTTGGCATCAACTGGGTACTATATAATGTACGAAAAGTACTAACTGGCACTAAATTTAGTACGTAGCATTGGAAGTGAGCTGAAATTTTGAAAATTTGTAACAGAGGGTCATCGTAAGTATATGACGTTTAGATAAAAAGATACATTTATAAATGCATAATATAACGTGTGCGAAAGTACAAAATGGTACTAAAATTTGGAATAGAGTGTAAGAAAAGAGATGGAACTATGCATTTTTGTATTAGAATCGCGGTGAGTGCGTAGCTTTTAAAAAAGTAGGTTATCCGTACCTTATAGTGAACGAAAAGCTCTACGTGATACAAAATTTGGCATAGAATGCATAAAAAGAGGTTCATTTTTGTACCAGGACCGCTTTGAGCCTACAGTTTTAATGTAATTGAATTTGAAAATACGTTCTCTAATGTGTACGAAAAGTACTAAGTAGTACTAAATTTGGCATATAGCGTAGGTATAGAACTGGAACTATTCATTTTATTACACGCACCAATGGGGGTGAAACTAGAGTATGAACCCTTCCGTTAGAAAAGCTCAATATTTTGGAAAAATCGTACATTGGGCGAAGAGAGTACTCGATATAATCGAAACTTGGCACATCGTAATATTCAGGTATGTTGTGAAAATTGACAATGCTTACCTTCTTGCACCTCCCTCGCTCGAAATACTGCTTTAGCCCGAAAATGACTTTAATTTCGGTAAGATTTAGACTATTGATTTATTCTGAGATTAAAAAGGAGACACGTGTATCGGCGTTTTGAAAGTTTACATCGTAAGGTAACCAAAGTAGAAGAGGCAAGCTCCTCCCTCTTCCAGACTTTTGGAAATGTTGGGATTAGGATTCCTCGAAATTCGGTATTATACCAGATAAAAATACTTTTTTCAAAATTTTATTAAAAACTCCCATTTAAATGGGATCGTAGCAAATCAAAATATTCTACAAAATTATTTGCCATAAAATTCTACTCTAGGTTTTGGAAGACATTAAGAGTCTAAATTTTACATAAACGCCAGAAATTCGTATATATGAAAAACACATTTTAGGGTTAAGGCCGTACTTTTTGTGAGTTTGTGCAAAAATCTCCAAAAAAGCATAATTTTAGAAGAATGACGTCAAAGACAAAAATGTTCCTCATCAAAATTTACTAAAAGTAACAAAAGAAATGAAATATATATTTAAACTGTATATCGTAAAATATTTGAATCGATGTTTCCAAAAAAAAAAACAATACTCCGAAAATATTTCCTTTTTTTTTTGATTGATTTTTCCCCGGACATTTTTCGATTTGAAGCCTGAAAGTAACGCACAAGTTTATTTGAGACGCCATTACAAAAAATTCTTTAAAAATCCTCGTTTGGGGTATTGATTTACCCTCCAGAAATATTCTTTAAAAATCGAGGTTTAGGGCATTAGTATTCTCTCCAAGAATATTCTTCAAAAATTCCTCCAAAAATATTTTTTTAAAAATCCAGGTTTAGGGCATCAGCATTCTCTCCAAGAATATTCATCAAAAATTCTTCCAAAAATATTCTTTAAAAATCCACGTTTGGGGCATTGGTGTTCCCTCCCAAAAATATTCTTCAAAAATCCACTTTTTGGGCATTGATGTTTCTTCTAAAATATATTATTTAAAAATCCACGTTTGGAGCATAGATCATTCCTCCAGAAAAATGCTTAAAACTCCAATTTAGGGCATTGATATTCCCTCCCAAAAAAATCCTTAAAAAATCCACGTTTGGGTCATTAATGTTCCCTCCAAAAATATTCTTGAAAAATCCACGTTTTGGGCATTAATGTTCCCTCCAAAAATATTCTTTAAAAATCCATGTTTGGGGCATTGATATTCCCTCCAAAAGATTTTTTAAAAATCCACGTTCGGGGTATTCTCTCCAAAAATATTTTTTAAAAATCTCGGTTTATTGGTATGGTACGTTTTGTTATACGCATCACTGTTGGTGTTTGGGATGTATTCATTTCCTCACTCAATTTTCCAAATTTTATCCAGACCTCCAAGTACAAAATTTCAAATTTTTTTTGCAAAAACAAAAATTCTAATATTGAGCGATATTGTAGAAACTTGGCACATCGTTATATTTAGGTTAGGTGTGACAATGGACAATATTGACCCACTCCTTTTTGTACCTCCCCCACAAAGGATCAAAGTTCTTAAAAATAATAATTAATTGTGTAGTATGTGAAATCGATATCACATCCCAATATTTTGGACTAGGGTGTAAAAATCGAAAATATCTGCCCAGACTTTCTGGTACCTCCTCCTGAAAGTTTCAAAAATTTCCCATGAAAAAAGAGAAAAAAAAATAAAATTCTTACAATGAGCGAAAATAACATTCGGTGTAGTTCAAATGTAGGTGGGGATCAAAATAGGACAATACTGATCACTTAAAATTTAAGCATGTTAATTTAGCCGTAAAACGAAATCAAATAATTTTAACAACTATATAAAATCTGCTATATTTAAGTATATGATTAATTTTACGATTTAAATTTAAATGTACTGTATAATATTTCGTCTTTTGACACCTTCTGCCTAGAACTAAGTTTTATGTTAATTTCATGCATGAAAAATTGATTAAGAATTAAGGATTATTACCTGTATTCCTTTTTTTCAACATTGCTACAAATATTTTCTTGATATCTATTGGAATTAGAGTTTTCTCTTCTTCGGTGACTTATAGTGAAATATTGTGTCCGAAATTAAGTTTTGTACGAGATTTTTGCAAAAACTCAAACAAGTTCGGCTTTAACCCTAAAATGCGCGGCCCTAAAGTAGAATTTTATGAAAAAAAAATTTTGTCGAATATTTTGACTTGCTTCGATCCCGCTTAAAGAGAATTTTAAACCATATTTACCGAAAACACCCCGTTTATTGACTCGCTCGAGGGTTAAAATTTGCGACCAAAATATGTCTTGTATTTTTATCTATAATATTTCCAAAGACACTATAGATGGCGAGATGAAAAAACTGCAACAAACTTCGGACTACGGTAATTTCTAAGCCACTCGTCCGACAGCTGTTAAAACTATTCCAGTGACAGCTCATTATATTATTTACAAGCGTACAAAAGCATTTTGGTGAGAATTTTCCCAGAAAGAAGTTATTCGTGATGGAATTCAAGGGTGATAGTGTGATTTCTTTATATTTGGTTGGAAAACCAGAAGTGGCTCTCGTTAGAGCACTCCAGCATTTTAATGTGAATAAATCTCTTGTGTCTTGTACCACCGCTCGTTACCGTGATACTGGTAGCGTAGCCCGACGTCAAGGAAGTGGACGGAAGAAAACAGCAAAATCAGCAGAAATGGTTCGAAAAGTAAAGAAGCGCCTTGATCGATCGCAGTGGCCGAAAAATGGCTCGTGAGCTGGACATATCGCAATATTCCATTCGGCAAATATTGAAAACTGAGCTCGGTGTAAATCCATTGAAATTACAAATAACGATTCCTCACGATATTCGGTATTTTTGATGAATTTATTGACATTTTTCAATGGCATTATCTGAAATTCTACACAAGGAGTTCTCCGTGAGTACTTTACCCCCTGAAAGAAAATTTTCTATATATTTATATAGGTCCACGATATCGTATAGCCCCCATATAACGGTACCCACGATATGGATCAATTTGATGATTTTAGCCACATTTTTTCAATGGAATTGTCTGAGTTCTTCGTAACTTTTTTAACCCCTGAAAAAGAATTGTCCCTAAAGGTCCCTATATTCCGTATTTTGTTGATTTTAGCCATATTTTTGAATGGGATTGTCTTAAAATCCACGCCAGGGGTACTTTATCCCCTAAAAGAGAATTGTATATATAGGTCCGCGATATCGTATATCCCCCATACAACGGTACCTCCCGATATTAGGTATTTTGATGATTTTAGTCACATTTTTCAACGAAATTGTCTGAATTGAATATACAACCCTGGAAGAGAATTGTCTACATAGGTCTACGTTTTAGTATAGCACCCATATAACCCTACCCCAAGATATTCGGTAACTCCAGGATTTTCGCAACATTATACACCGGAATTACGTCAAATTTCGTATTTAAAGTTCGTATTGGGTACTACAACCTATGACGGAAAATTGTCCATGTTTTTAGCCCTACTTTTAAAATCTGCTAGATTTCCTCCGTAATTATTGAAAAAAAAATAAAAAATTGACTCACAGTGTAATCTACTAGATTTCACCTGTAATTCAAAATTTACCAAAATTTGTTAGATATAACGTAGGGTGTAGCCGAATTCTTGGCAATTGACGAATCTTTGGTATTTAATTATATCTATCTTTAAGGTGTTCTGCAATGCTTTAGGCAATTTATATAACAAAGAAGACGTCTAAAGAAGTTATGAAACGCCAAAGAAGAATTAAAAAAAAAAAGAAAACAATTTGCGTGACTCAATCTATAACGTCACACGTTATTATGGCAGACATTTGTTTAGCTTATATCTTTATTATATTGCCATTATTCATTTTTTTCAGACGATGATTAATGAAAAGTGAGTTGATTTGAAAAATAAAACATATATATTATTTGAAGATTAATTTAATTATTCCAATTTGGAACTGGAACAACTTGTAACACATTAATAATTATTATTGTTTTTAAAACCGGCATAAATTCTCTGTAGAAAATATAAAACACGTTCAGAATGGTTAAAATGCGTTTTTAATAATTATTAATTCTCTAAAAACAATTGCGCATCATCCACAGAATTCTTTTGAAAAAACAAAAACTGAATTTTAATTATTTTTCTTTGTAAATTCTTTATTTATTATATAATTTGCTAATAATACAAAAAATTGATGCTAAGAGAATGCCTTGAGAAAAAAATCGAGAGGGAGAGAGAGAGAAAGAGAGAGGGACATATTGATATTTTGTCATTCACATTCTTAGAAGCCCATTGAATCACAGTTTAAAGTTTTCGTTAAAAGAAAACAATTTAATAGACATAACCACCATTACCGCCGCCACCTTCATTACCGCCTCCACCACCTCCATTACCACCTCCTCCACCACCGCTACCATCATCCGGATGCCCCCCACCAGCTGCAATTTTATCCAATGCCTCTTGAATCTCTGGCGGTATTGGCGGTGGTGTTGGCAAATGATCACCCTGCGGCTGGAATCCATTCTCATCGGCAATATAGGTGACAACAAATGATTCACCTTCCGGACTGGTAAACGAAAAGGAACCCTCAGCCACCTGGGCTTCGTTGTCACTGTCGCCAGCATTTTTCAAATAGCCCATTTCATCGACGTTGATGCCATTGCCGGTTTCATATTCGTACTGCAATGAAATAAAAAAAATATTGAAATGTTAAAAAATATTATCTTCGCGACCTCCACCTAGTCTATTTCGATCAACTGGCCGCCCAGTCGGTCTATGAAGACCAACTGGCCGTCCAGTCGGTCTATGTAGACCAACCGCCTGCCCAGCCGGTCTATGTAGACCAACCGCCTGCCCAGCCGGTCTATGTAGAACAACTGGCCGCCAAGCCGGTCTATATAGACCAACTGGCCGCCAAGCCGGTCCATATAGACCAACTAACCGCCCACCTAGTTAATGTAGACCAACTGACCTCCTACCTAGTCTGGCCGCCCAGCTAGTCTATACATGCTCACTGGCCTCCAGCTACTCTATATAGACTTCCTGGCCTCCAGCTACTCTATATAGACTTCCTGGCCTCCAGCTAGTCTATATAGGCTTCCTGGCCTCCAGCTAGTCTATATAGACTCCCTGGCCTCCAGCCAGTCTATATAGACACCCTGGCCTCCAGCTAGTCTATATAGACTCCCTGGCCTCCAGCTAGTCTATATAGACTCCCTGGCCTCCAGCTAGTCTATATAGACTCCCTGGCCTCCAGCTAGTCTATATAGACTTCCTGGCCTCCAGCTAGTCTATATAGACTTCCTGGCCTCCAGCTAGTCTATATAGACTTCCTAGCCTCCAGCTAGTCTATATAGACTTCCTGGCCTCCAGCTCGTCTCTATAGACTCCCTGGCCTCCAGCTAGTCTATATAGACTCCCTGGCCTCCAGCTAGTCTAAATAGACTCCCTGGCCTCCAGCTAGTCTATATAGACTTCCTGGCCTCCAGCTAGTCTATATAGACTTCCTGGCCTCCAGCTAGTCTATATAGACTTCCTGGCCTCCAGCTAGTCTATATAGACTTCCTGGCCTCCAGCTAGTCTATATAGACTTCCTGGCCTCCAGCTAGTCTATATAGACTTCCTGGCCTCCAGCTAGTCTATATAGACTTCCTGGCCTCCAGCTAGTCTATATAGACTTCCTGGCCTCCAGCTAGTCTATATAGACTTCCTGGCCTCCAGCTAGTCTATATAGACCCACTGGCCTCCAGCTCGTCTCTATAGACTTCCTGGCCTCCAGCTAGTCTATATAGACCCACTGGCCTCCAGCTCGTCTCTATAGACTTCCTGGCCTCCAGCTAGTCTATATAGACTCCCTGGCCTCCAGCTAGTCTATATAGACTCCCTGGCCTCCAGCTAGTCTATATAGACTCCCTGGCCTCCAGCTAGTCTATAGAGACTCTCTGGCCCACCAGCTCGTCTATAGAGACTCTCTGGCCCACCAGCTCGTCTATAGAGACTCTCTGGCCCACCAGCTCGTCTATAGAGACTCTCTGGCCCACCAGCTCGTCTATAGAGACTCTCTGGCCTCCAGCTCGTCTATAGAGACTCTCTGGCCTCCAGCTCGTCTATAGAGACTCTCTGGCCTCCAGCTCGTCTATAGAGGCTCTCTGGCCTCGAGCTCGTCTATAGAGACTCCCTGGCCTCCAGTTAGTCTATATAGACTCCCTGGCCTCCAGCTCGTCTAAAGAGACTCCCTGGCCTCCAGTTAGTCTATATAGACTCCCTGGCCTCTAGTTAGTCTATATAGACTCCCTGGCCTCCAGCTCGTCTAAAGAGACTCTCTGGCCTCCAGCTCGTCTATAGAGACTATCTGGCCTCCAGCACGTCTATAGAGACTCTCTGACCTCCAGCTAGTCTATATAGACTCCCTGGCCTCCAGCTCGTCTATAGAGACTATCTGGCCTACAGTTCGTCTACAGAGACTCTCTGACCACCAGCTCGTCTATAGAGACTATCTGCCCTCCAGCATGTCTATAGAGACTCTCTGGCCTCCAGCTCGTCTATAGAGACTCTCTGGCCTCCAGCTCGTCTATAGAGACTCTCTGGCCTCCAGCTCGTCTATAGAGACTCTCTGGCCTCCAGCTCGTCTATAGAGACTCTCTGGCCTCCAGCTCGTCTATAGAGACTCTCTGGCCTCCAGCTCGTCTATAGAGACTCTCTGGCCTCCAGCTCGTCTATAGAGACTCTCTGGCCTCCAGCTCGTCTATAGAGACTCTCTGGCCTCCAGCTCGTCTATAGAGGCTCTCTGGCCTCCAGCTCGTCTATAGAGGCTCTCTGGCCTCCAGCTCGTCTATAGAGGCTCTCTGGCCTCCAGCTCGTCTATAGAGACTCTCTGGCCTCGAGCTCGTCTATAGAGACTCCCTGGCGTCCAGTTAGTCTATATAGACTCCCTGGCCTCCAGCTCGTCTAAAGAGACTCCCTGGCCTCCAGTTAGTCTATATAGACTCCCTGGCCTCTAGTTAGTCTATATAGACTCCCTGGCCTCCAGCTCGTCTAAAGAGACTCTCTGGCCTCTCTGACTATCTGACCTCCGGCTAGTCTATATAGACTCCCTGGCCTCCAGCTCGTCTATAGAGACTATCTGGCCTACAGTTCGTCTACAGAGACTCTCTGACCACCAGCTCGTCTATAGAGACTATCTGCCCTCCAGCATGTCTATAGAGACTCTCCGGTCTCCAGCTTTTCTATAACTACTCCCTGCACTCGAGCTTCTCCAAAAAGACTAACTGGCATCCAGTATTTCCCTAAAAACTCCCTGTCCTCCAGCCAGTCCATTTAGTTTTCCACTCACCATATACGATCCATCGGTATTGACTTGGGATTCAAATTTTATAATTGGTATAACAGGACCGCCGCCACCTCCTCCGCCACCAGCTCCACCCCCGCCGCCGCCTCCTCCACCTCCAGGCCCTCCGCCACCACCACCAGCAGGAGGTAAATAGGTATTACCACCACCACCTCTTCCGCCGCCGCCATTACCTCCACCAGGAGGTAAATATGTGGAAGGTGGCGGTTTACCACCTCCTCCTCCTCCACCACCGCCACGATTTGGTGGCAAATATGATGAACTTGGCCCCTTACCGCCACCTCCACCACCGCCACCGGGTTTTGGTAGTTGTTTTGCCGGTGGTTTCATTTTGGGATACCCAGCTGGCGCAGCACTGCTCCATGCTATGCCAATGACAATTAGGAAAATCTGAAGGAAAATTAGAATTGTTATCTAATTTTTGAAAATTCTCAGTGAAAACACCTCTACTTACCAACTTCATGTGGAAACGTGGAAGTGGTCAGCTATACTAGATATTCAATCATTTGGATATTGCCTTTTTATAAACCCCAACAATATTTCCAGATGAAGCTGAAGAGCGCTAGGTCATTGTAGGCTAAACATTGGCAAATCGATAAGTGGTGTTCGAATCAGAGCAAACCAGACGATGAACTCACGTCCATGAGTTCAAAACCAATTCTAGTTTATTTTGTTTCAGGCGTTGCCAATTCACAGATGCCAATGTTACAAATTATTGAAGATGGACTGTGATGTTGAGGGGGGTTTCTATCAGGTCTTACAGTTCCTGAAAAATATCGGAGTTTTTGACGCCGGTGGGTTCTCAAAGCAACTCTAAAAAAATTGACAATAGTGGCTCTGATAGTACCTCAAAAAATATTGTTAAAAAATCCACGAATGCGACTCTAACAAGTTTTTCGAAATTTTTCTAAAAAAATCAAGGTTGGAGTCAGAAATAGGTCCTCAAAAAATATTCGAAAAAATCTATATTCCTTTCACTGTTAGGTCCCCATAAAGTTAGTCCAAGTCCAAGTTTGTGGCTCTAAAAATATTGCTAAGATATCAAGGTTTGTTGCTCTTCTGGGTCCTCGCAAAATATTTCTGATACTGCTACACCTCAAAAAGGGTAATCCTTTACCCGAAAACAAGTGGCTCCGTTAGACCCTTTAAAATAAATTCATGAAAAATCAATGCAAAAACGCCATCTGAACCACGGTGCTTCAACAAATATTGTTTCAATTGTTCAACTCTAGCTTTACATCGAAACGATCCAACCATCGAACCATCAAAATCATCTCATCTCATAAATATACACACACACACACATTCATTAACGCAATAACTAGTGGCTCGCACAACACCACTCGTAACTTGAAGAAGAAAAAACCTTCATTCATGTTGTAGAGCATTTGTTCGACCCCTTTTTCGTTCTGTGTTCTTTGATTTCGTACAAGTTTTATTACGCACAAGTGAATCGTGGTACAAGAAGCTTTATCCAATCGCCTGAGAACGTAGTCAGCTGTTTTTTCTCTTTTTTGACTGACTGGCAAGCAGAACGCGTAGCATACAAAGAACAACAATAACTGCAAGTACGCACTGGGCGAGCTCGTAAGACAAGTTTCTAATGTTGGTATTAGTGCAGGCTCGATGAATTTTACATGATTCTCGGCCAGTAGACTTGCTGCTAATACCAAATCATCAAAATGAACCCCCCTCCTCCCCTTGCCATGGCTAAATGTGAAGGAACAGCAAGCGATGTCAGGTTATTTCGGCTGATATTAACAACAAAAAAAAACGTATCCTTCATGGTTAAATGCAAAAACCAAACAAAGGCACACATACACACACACAAACGTATAGAGATGAAGGCAAATCGTTGCAGAGACACAGTGGGGTTCATACTTATGGTTAAAAAATTCCCTAAAAATTAAAAAGATATAATATTACAAGTGTTTAAACTTATATCAGATAAAGCCATCCAGGGCATCTAAATAGACTACCTTGACTATAGATAGTCCATATGGGCTCTATGGCCTCCGGATAGTCCATAAGGACTCCCTGGGCACCAGATAGTTCATCTGAACACCAGCTGGTAGGTGGAAAACTTCATAGACCTGCCGGAAACCAGAGTGATTTTAGAGACATACTAGAGGCTAGTTAGTCTATTTAGAGAAGTTGAAGGCCAGAGAATCGTTATATACGAGCTGGAGGCCAGAGAGTCGATATAGATGAGCTGGAGGCCAGTGAGTCCATATCGATTAGCTGGAGACCTCGAAGTCTATTTAGACTAGCTGGACACCTGGAAGTCTATACAGACTAGCTGGGCGGCCAGTTGGTCTATATAGCACATCTGGAAACCAGATGGTCTATATAGCCCACCTAGAGGCCAGGTGTTCTACACCGACTAGCTATAGGCCAGACATTCTACATAGACTAGCTGGAGGCAAGATGGTATACATAGACTAGCTTGAGACCAGATTATCTACATAGACTAATTGACGGTCAGATTGTCTGCATAGACTAATTGAAGGTCAGATGATCTACATAAATTAGCTGGAGGCCACATGATCTACATAGAGTAGCTGGAGGTCAGATGGTCTACAAAGACTAGCTGAAGGCCAGATGGCCTATATAGAATAGCTGGAGGCCAGATGATCTTCGTAGACTAGCTGGAGGTCTTCGTAGACCAGCTGGAGGCCAGATGGTCTTCGTAGACTAACGTTCTTGGTAGACTAGTCAGGAGGCCAGGTGTTCTTGGAAGACTACCTGGAGGCCAGATGGTCTTCGTAGACTAGCTGGAGGCCAGTTGGCCTACAATGACTAACTAGGAGCCAGTTGATCTACATAGACTAACTGGAGGCCAGATGGTCTGCATAGACTAGCTGGAGGCCAGATGGTCTACATGGGCTACTTGGAGGCCAGATGGTCATCTTAGACTACCTGGAGGCAAGATGGTCTTCTTAGACTAGCTGGAGGCCAGATGGTCTTCGTAGACTAGCTGGAGGCCAAATGTTTTCTTGGACTAACTGGAGGCCAAATGGTCTTCGTAGACTAGCTGGAGGCCAGTTGGTCTACATAGACTAGCTGGAGGCCAGAGGATCTTCGCAGACTAGCTGGAGGCCAGATGGGCTTCGTAGACTAACCAGGGGGCCAGCTGGTCTTCGTAGACTAGCAAGAAGGCCAGTTCGTCTTCGTAGACTAGTCAGAAGGCCAGCTCTTCTTCGTAGACTAGCTGGAGGCCAACTCGTCTTTGTAGACTAGCCAGAAGGCCAGCTCGTCTTCGTAGACTAGCCAGAAGGCCAGCTCGTCTTCGTAGACTAGCCAAAAGGCCAGCTCGTCTTCGTAGACTAGTCAGAAGGCCTGCTCGTCTTCGTAGACTAGTCAGAAGGCCAGCTCGTCTTCGTAGACCAGCTGGTGGCCAGCTGGCAACCAGAGTAGTCTTCGTAGAGTAGCTAGTGGCCAGATGGTCGTCCTAGACTAGCTGGAGGCCAGATGGTCTTCTCAGACTCGCCGGAGGCCAGCTGATCTTTGTAGACTTGTCAGGGGGCCAGATGGTCTTTGTAGACTAGCCAGGGGGCCAGCTGGTCTTTGTAGACTTGTCTGGGATCAGATGGTCTTTGTAGACTAGCCAGGCGGCCAGCTGGTCTTCGTAGACTAGTCAGGGGGCCAGTTGGTCTTCGTAGTCTAGCCTGGCGGCCAGCTGGTCTTCGTAGACTAGTCAGGTGGCCAGCTGGTCTTCGTATACTAGTCAGGTGACCAGCTGGTCTTCGTATACTAGCCAGGGGGCCAGCTGGTATTCATAGACTAGCCAGGAGGCCAGCTGGTCTTCATAGACTAGCCAGGAGGCAAGATTGTCTACACCGACTAACCAGGAGGCCAGCTGGTCTACATATAGAGATAGTCTATTTTGATTACGTTTCACTCAACTGGTCTATATCACAACTGGTCTACAATCAACTGGCCTATATCCTATCAAAAATCTTTTTAAAGAATCCACATTAGGGACTCCTTAAAAAAATATTTAAAAAATAACCAGTTGGAGGCTCCTGTAGTCTTTAAAACAATATTTTAAAAAATCAACGATAAGGACTCATTTAGTCTTTACAAATATTCTGAAAAAATCCTTCCGGAGCCTCTTAAAAAATATTTTGAAAAAATCCACGTAAGGGGCTCTTAAAAAATAATATTTTTAAAAGATCCACGTTAGGGATTCCTATAATCCTTATTTATATATATATATATTTTTTTTTTTTGAAGCTTCATTGTACAATTATTTAACATTCCCCCACTGTGTTGCCTCGTCTGACTTTGGCAATTCATTCGTCAAGGCAAAATGGATTTGAAAACGTACGGCATCGGCAAGTAGTACCCAATTTGACATTAGCAGGGCCACTCGCTGCACTTGCTGTTGAGGCAAAAAGTTAATAGCTGAACGTAGTTTGGCACCCTTGTAAAAATACACGCAACTCTGCAGCAGCAACAACAACGAGAACACCAAACATCTCTTCCAAGGATAGATTAAAATGACATCTTTTGTACATTAACACACCATAACGAAGCGTTTGGGTATAGCTTGTTGTAGTTGTAGCTATAGCTGGCCCAACCCGGTCGTTGATGATGATGATGACGATGATGTTTTTCTTTGAATGGTGGTGAATTTGGTGGTTATGGTTTCAATGCGAGTTTTAGAGAGAGAGGAGTGGTGGAAGAGGGGGGTAGTTTTCTTCGTAGGCCAACTCATTACCCATACAACGACCTGGAATCCGATGCAGGTGTGGCAGATTTGTGTTGTTATTCCGCAGGCGAGTTTTCGCTCCATTGGGTTGGATGTGGTTGGATAGACCCTTTGATGATTTGATTTCAAAATGAACTTGTAGATCGACAGGTTTTGTTATTTTAACCGATTTAACCATGGAACAAAAACATAGCCAACCAATCCTTGCCAATCATCATCGTCGTCGTGTAGAAGGCTTATCAACAGGAAAATCACCAGGCGGTAAATGAAGAAGGACTCTCTTTATTGTATCCTGCACACAATGTCATTAATTTTCCTTTGTCTGAACTCCGCATCATTTGTTGGAATTTATGTAGCGTTAATTGATAAATTAATTAATCTACTTTGCTTTTGAATAGGATTTCCTTGTCGGTTTTTTTTTTTGCGATTGCAACTCAACAATAGAAAGCAAACTGATAAAAATATCATTTGAGCTAAACTGATAAGAATATTTGCAAATAAGTTTTATTGGGAGAGTGATTCGGATTTTTTTTCTGTTGTAAACTTAGGGCATAGATAGGGCAAGATTATGCTAAAAGGACAGCATGACTCCATTAAATGCATGGATTTTTTTTTGTAAACGTATAATATTGTCTTTATTTTGTAGAGGTGAAGTCAGGATCCCGAATGTGGATTATTTTAAAAAGAACCCCTGACAGGATAAAAAAATATCACTTTAAGTTCCTAAATTTTGATTTTTTAAGGACTAT